TGCAATTGTCAAAAATTGAATCTTAATCATTAAAATAAAGAATTCAGTATTCTACAAATAATGTTGTTCAATGGGTTTGTTTAGTATTTAAAAATTTTTTTGTTATATTGTAGTTTTCTATGAGCATGCAATTGTATGGTATTAACTGAATTTATTTGATTTTATTAATTCTAAATATATTAAGCACTAAATGTCCAAATAGTTTACCACAATAAAAAGAAGAATCCAAGTGTTAAATTTATGTGAAATCAATTGAGAAATTACCACTCATATACCGAATTCATTCATAGAATAACCAAGGTACTTTTATATGTCATAGACTTTAAAAAAAAAAAGAGCCAGATAAGAAGTTGTTATTTTTTTTTATAATACCATACGCCAATTCCTTATTAATGTTAAGCTCAAATTTTAAAAAATAGTTATATCCAAATAAAATGTTTAGTCACCACAAACATAAAATTAAGACATGATAGAACTAATTAATTATCTAAAAATATTGAAATGGGATTTAATTCAAAGGTTTACTCACCTAGTAAATTCTAATAAGATTGGAGTTCAATTTTAAACATTTGAAAATTTTTCTTCCTTATTTCTCCTTAGATCCCTTCTTTATTAAAAAAAAAAAAAAACCCTATCTAAAAAAAAGGTCACTACAATTTCAAAGAATTTTCATTCAACAAATTTTGAAAAGAATGATCATCCATACCATAATTATGACTATAAAATATTGTTGTTAAGCCGAACATATAAGGGTACATAATATGTTTAATCTCTCAATTATAGAAAATTTTTTATTTTGATCATTTACTTGTGAAAAGTTATAATTTGTCATGAACATTTATAAGATTATTTTTTATCATTCAATCGTGAAGATTAATAAGATATTGACGTGACATTAACTTACGTTTAAAATGTTACATGAAACTATAAATTTAACAAAAAAAGATAAATTTTTAAAATAAAAGAAACAAATTATATTTTTTGATCATTTAATTTTTTGAAAGTTTCTATTTGGTCACTCAACTTTGATAATTTCATAATTTGGTTATTAATGTTTGTGAAATTATTAATAATTTGGTTTTCATTATTAACATCTTACTATCAACATGGTTTATATCGATTTAATCACCAACATTTATAAAATTGAATTTAATAAATGATTTTACTATTTTTGTTACCATACTTTTAATATTTTATTACATAGAATTTAAGATTATAAATTTTCATTGTAATTAAAACCGTTATGAAATATTTCATATTTCTTTTAAATTTTCTAAGCTGACTGGTATAATTTATGTTGGTTCCAAGATCATATTCTTGTTGATAAAAATGCCTTCATACGATGGTTGAAGTTGACCTCAAAACAGAGAATTGATTGCAATATTCTTCAATTAATTAACTTCAAGACGTGTTTATGAAAATAACTTTTTTAGACTTATTTTGTCCTCACAAGACTTTGGGATCCAAAAAGGATAATCGAAATAGTCTATAAGATAAAATGAAACCTTTGTTTGAACTCACTTTGCATTAATGAAGTTTAAACCACTAAACACCCTTAAAGAAAACGAAAATACTAGTTTAAGGCTTGTATTTTCTGCAACAAACGAAAATGCTACGGCAAATTTTGCAGTTTCTTACCTGGAGGAATTCAGAAAAGGATAGGAACAAGTGGACCAGCAGAGAGCAGAAAACCTGAGATGGAAACCACCGCCAACCATATTGCCAAAGTGAACTTCAATGGAGCGTTGAAACCTGCAGAAGCTATTGGAGGCATTAGGGTGGTCGTGACAAACTACAAGGGGAAAGTTTTGGGCTCTTTGTCAAAGCATGTAGATGGGGTTAGGGATGCCATGGTGATCGAAGCCTATACTGCAGCAGAAGGAATATATTAAAATTTTTTTATAAATTAAAGTTTCATAATTTTTAATATTACAAAATAAAATATTCATAAAAGTAATTTTAAAATATAAAAAATAATAATTTTAGATGTTAAAAAAAAAAAAAAAGGTATAATTTTGAAACATCCAAAAAGAAAAAGAGGGACAAAGAAAATATGACAGAGGGAATATTATTTATCAATTATCTCTTCGCAAGATTGAAAGCAATACTCTCGTATATCGACTTATTTTTTATAGTTGATATATCATTAAAAATGTACTACGAGTTTATTCGTATAATGTTTTTTTTTAATTAAAATAAATATTAAAATAAAAAGAATTTTAAAATAAATTAAATTAAAAAAAAAAACTCCCTCATTAATCCTCTAGAGCATAAGTGTGAGTCAATTATTTATTAGTGATTAATGGGCCGATATCCAAAATATTAGAACAAAGAGATATATAAGTCACTCATTGTAACATTTTAATCATAGTTTGATGACCAAAATATATATAAAAACCAAACATAAGTGATCATTAGTTCACAACGTCGTTTACTCTAATTTGAAATTATTCTTGGGTACTTTTGAAAGCCCTCTCCTCATTCACCATTTCTTGTGTGGTTGTGCCCTCACAATTAAGGAAAAAAAAAGACAAAAAAGGGGAAGAATGTTCAGAAAAGGAAAGATTATATAAAAGGGATTTGTTTACATAAGCCTTTTAGTTCACAAGATAGCTAGAATCAATATACCCCCCGTAAGTCAAACAAATTCATTTGATTCATAGCATCTCTTTCTAAATATATAATTAATATCTAGAGAAATTATTTAAGACATTATCAATGGAGTTTTTTTAACTTTATAACTAGGTTAACATGATAATATATGTCTCATTTTTTTTTTGAAATTAATTTTTTTTTATTTTTTAAGTATATCCTAAAAGCATTTGTCACTCTATTAAGAAATTACAAAATATATTAACAATTATTTGATAATGTTTTCTAAAATCTTTGCACATTTCTTTTATATCAAAGGAAGGAGATTCAAACCCATCACTAAAAAACATACATCAATCATTAAAAGGCCTATTTAGATAAATGGTGAGATGAATTTCGATAAAATTAAAAATAGTTATAAAAATGAGATTAATTACTATAAAAGTAAGATTAAATATTGTAATGGTGATATTAAAATTAATGATAGAATATGTGATACCTTAATTCTATGTCAGGAGATTTTTAAAATCTGATATAACATATAAGTAGAGACTTAGATCCAAATTTATGAGATATTTTTTTATGGGATAAAATCGTGAGACTTTCGAATCAAAGCAAAAAATACTTTACAGGTTACGTGCGAATCTACACAAATGATATCGTAACTGTTACTAGTTGGACGGAAGCTAAGTACTATATAATGAGAGCTACTTCTAGAATCTTCACGTATGGGGTGATCCTAATTTTGTAGTTTTGTGTGTGTGTATTAGAAGATTTTAAGAATCCATTATAATATATAAGTAAAAGTTTAAATCTAAACTTATGTAATGCCTTTTGTGAGATAAAATTATAAAATTTTCAGTTTAAAACAGATAATATTTCACAAGTTAAGTTCGAATCTCCACAAAATATGTATTTGGATGTAAATATAGCGATAACGATGAGATTAAATACTATGAGATGATAAAATGATCATTAAGAATTTAAATTAAAATTTATATGTAATAAAAATTTTAAATTATTTAACATTTTTAAAATAAATAAAAATATTTTAAAAATATTTTTATATCATTAATAATAACAAAATAGTTAACAAGAATAAATAATTTGAAAATACTTAAAGTAAAAAATAATTTAATAAATTAATAAATAAACAATAAACAATATAAATTTATTTATCACTTAATTAATTAATAATTAATAATTAAGAACGCTACAAAAAAAAAGAAAAAAGAAGAAGATGAGGGGGCAAAAATGGAATAAAAAAACAATAAAAAATCTAGAAGCCCCACTGGTGTTCAAAATTTTATCTCCAGTGGCGTTCAAAAGCATAGAGAAAAATCTATTCAAAGGTGAGAAAAATGTACTCAAAATGCAGTATATGATTTTATTTAATTTTATTTATTTAATTTGGTTTAAGTTTGAATATTAAATATTTTTATTAAATAAAATTAAAAAATTAAAAAAATAAAATATTATATTCAAATTAAATCATATATTTTTATTATTATTTATAAATTTTAAATTTTTATAAAATAAAAATAATTATTTTATATTTAAATATATTTAAATATATTAAAATAATATTAAAAAATTAAAAATAATCTATTCAAATTTAAATAGATTTTGAACATCTACAATATTACATGTTATAAAAAAAATCAAATCAAATTTGATTTAATCGATCCGACAACCTTGACCAAGACTATATGGGGTCAGTAGTTGCAGCCTAGAAAGTGCCAGCGGTCTTACTCACACCTTGACCAAGGCTGCAACTACTGACTCAAAATAGTCTTGGTCAAGGTTGTCCGATCAATTAAATCAAATTTGATTTAATTTTTTTTGTAATATGTAATATTATAGATATTCAAAATCTATTTAAATTTGAATAGATTATTTTTAATTTTTTTTATCAAATTTTATAAGTTTGATTTTTTGATGATTTTTTATATTTATATTTTATATTATTTTAATAAATTTAAATATAAAATAATTATTTTTATTTAATAAATATTTAAAATATTTAAAATATTAATAAAATTATATAATTTAATTCAAATATAATATTTTTAATTTTTGATTTTTGATTTTAAATTAATAAAAATATTTAATATTCAAACTTAATCAAATTAAATAAAAAAATTTAAATCAAATCATATACTACGAATAGATTTTTCTCACCTCTACTGTTCATACTTAATATTTATTACATTAAGTGAGATAAATGATCTCAATAACGTTGTGTCACCCTGAAATACGCAATAGTTGAAGACTTTTAAAATGATCTCGGGGAGACTCACGGATTATAGCCATCTGTCTTTTCCTTCATCTATTGAAATGTGAATTTACTTGTATCAATAAATGATCGCTTCATCAGTGCTCATTCTCTCTGTTTTATTGAGAAAGTATTATGGGTTTCCCTTTGGATCTCTCCATTTCAATACGATTGCATTTTTTACTCTACGTGTTTTTACTTGGTTCTTCAGTACAGCCATTGTGCCATCCTGATGAACTCTCAGCATTGTTGCAGTTCAAGGAAAGCTTTGTCATCATTAACTCTAGTTCTCATGCTTATCCCAAAACTGAATCCTGGAAAGTTGAGGAGAAAAATGGCGACTGCTGTTCTTGGAAGGGGGTGGAGTGTGACAATAGCACTGGTCATGTAATCGGCCTTGACCTTAGTAGCAGTTATCTCTTTGGTTCAATCAATTCCAGCAGCAGCCTCTTCCGTCTTTTTCACCTTCAATTGCTTAACCTCTCACACAATTTCTTCAATAATTCTAAAATTCCTTCAGAGATCAGGAACCTCTCAAGACTAACATTCCTTGATCTCTCTTACTCCAACTTCTCTGGTCAGGTACCGTCAGAAATCTTAGAGCTGTCAGAATTAGAGCTCCTTGATCTGTCAAGGAACTCATTGAATCTTCGAAAGCCAGGGTTGAGGCCTCTGCTTGAGAAGTTAACCAACCTTAAAGTACTCGATCTTGGTGATGTGAAAATATCTTCTTCCATACCTAATAATATCTCACCAAAGTTTTCTTCATTGTCAGCTTTAATTTTATCAAATTGTGACTTGCGTGGTGAGTTTCCTATCGGAATTTTTGAGTTACCCTCGCTTCGGTTGCTCAATCTGCAGTCCAATCCGGAACTTACTGGATATTTACCTGTTATTCAAGCCAACCACCCTCTTTTGAAATTATCCCTTGCAAACACAAGTTTTTTTGGACAGTTGCCAGAATCAATTGGAAACTTGAAGTCCTTGGAATATTTGGACATCAAACACTGCAAATTTTCAGGGAAGGTACCATACTCACTTGGTAACCTTACTCAACTCAGATATCTTGATCTGTCTTTCAACAACTTTTTGGGACCTATTCCTTTCTCTGTTGGAAGACTAAACCAGCTTTTCGGCCTGGACTTCTCTTATAACAAATTTTCCGGAGAGATCCCTTCTTCCTTGGCCAATCTTACCCGACTTGTTTATCTATCTCTTGCCACCAACAATTTCAACCGAGGAACCTTGTCTTGGCTCGGTACGCAAACCAATCTAGCTTACTTGGACCTGGCAAAAACCAGTTTATCAGGTAACATCACATCTTCTCTCAAAAATTTGACCCAAATTACTTGTTTAGTTATCTTACGTACAATATCCATTAGTGAGTTGAAGCTAAATTGCGTTCTTAACCTTTCAAATAATTCACTGACAGGAGAAATGTCGCCAATGATATGCAATCTGTCTTGTCTTGCTTTCTTGCGTTTATCCAATAACAATTTGAGCGGATTGCTTCCTCCATGTTTTGGAGACCTCAGCAAATGTCTGATTATACTCAATCTTCAAAACAATCACTTTATAGGTGCAATTCCTCGAGCAAATAAAATGGGATGTAAGTTGAAGGCGATAGACTTACGTCAAAATCAGTTTCAAGGAAAGATACCAAGGTCACTGGTCAATTGTGCCATGCTAGAGGCTGTTCACCTCGAATACAATCAAATAAATGATAGCTTCCCCTCTTGGTTGGGTACCCTTCCCGAACTCAAGATTCTAAATTTGAGATCTAATAGACTCCATGGTGTGATTGGGAAACCTCAAACCAAATTGCATTTCCCCAAGTTGCAAATCATTGACCTCTCTAACAATTGTTTAGCAGGTAATTTACCATTTGGGTACTTCAATACTTGGAATTCAATGAAAGTAGTCACAGCAAGCAGCTTGTCATACATGGGAGTAATCCTAACTTTGGACTTTTATTTTGTTTTACCCAACCAAGTCCATGATTTTCACTTACGTTGCTCAGTCAAATTGACAAATAAGGGCCTGGAACTTGAATACCGGCATATTCCAGAATCCAAGACAGCCATCGATCTTTCGAACAATATGTTCAGTGGTGAAATTCCAGAAGCCATTGGGAATTTGAAGGCTCTTAAGGTACTTAACCTTTCCATTAACGCTTTTATTGGTCATATCCCATCATGTTTGGGGAATCTAATACAACTAGAATCTTTGGACCTTTCTCAAAATAATCTCTCCGGAGAAATCCCTCAACAATTGGCACAACTTACATTCCTGGCATTCTTCAATGTTTCTCAAAACAACCTCCAAGGGCCCATACCTCAAGGAACACAGTTTAGTACATTTGCTACTAATTGCTTTGATGCAAATTCAGGATTATGTGGAAGCCCTTTATCAATAAAATGTGGAATTCCTGAAGCCTCATCTCCACCTTTAAACTCTGGAGAAGGTCAAGGCATTGGTAGTGTGTTTGACTTTGGCTGGAAAGTAGTAGCCATAGGATATGGAGCTGGACTAATAATAGGATTGGTTGTTGGCTCCAACTTTATCTTTGGGCCGCTAGTGAACTTGAATGTTTTCGGAATAGTCTTTAGAAAGAGGCACCCTAGAAGAGAATAGGAGGCATAGGTTTTGAATCTTGTTAGGTAAAAATCATCTTTGAGTTTTGAAGTTCTTGTTTATTTATCTTAGACAGTGGATTCCGCCAGCAAAGTTAATAGATAATAATTCTTATTTCTTTTTAAAGAAGATTGTAGTAGGGGGATACAATAAAGGTTGTAAATTTGTCATCATATGTCACTTTCTAATAGTTATTAAATGGATCACTTTCTAAAAGTTTAAGTCTTAAATTTTATTCTAAAAGTATCTTTTGAATTGTTGAATTTAGGTTTTGAAGCCTGAATCACTGCTTTATGTTGATTAATTTAATGATATTAAAATTTTTCATTGCTTGCTCATCAATCTTGACCAATACATAGCTAAAAACAATTCTAAGCGCCATCATTTTTATTATTTTGTATGACTCTTAATCTCCCTTATTTTATCTATAAATCATTTGTAGTGAAAGACGATGAAAATTTTGCTGGCTTCTTCTCTTGCAAGTTCAAAATTGAAATTATTGTTTGATATTTGATTAGTCTTTTCATTTTTTACAATGTATTTTTTATTTTGTTTTTGTTACTTTTTATGTTTATTTTGTAATTTGCTTTAATATTCAAATACTTCCCAATTTCCCATGACATTTATTGCAAAAATTGAATTATGGATATTGTAGACACCGAATTTTGTGAGGGTCTATCATTTACAATCTTTGGTTTAATAATAATAATAATATTGATTTAATTAATATAAAAAAATAAATAATAAAAATAAATAAAAATATAAATGATAACTGATAACAAAAAAAAAGAAAAAATCATAATGGTAGTGATGCCTTACATGTCACCATTGCCACCCACCACTATCACCCATCATGTCACTATCATCCCCAATCCCATCAGAGCCCCTGCACCTCACTTGCCTCAATTACTCAAAATCATTGACCTTACCCTGCCATCACACCCATACCTCGCTAGAGGTATGTTTTATTGGCTACCATCATTTTCAGCCTTCTAAAGCCCTCAATGTTTCCCCTTTTATCCTCTTTTGGACCCCTAGAACACACCAGAAACCCCAACTCTCCATCTCCTAAAAGCCAATTCCATCATACTCGCCCACCAGTACCGATCTCTTTTACCCACACAAACGCCCAAAACAAAAAAACAAAAGCAACGACAAACAGTCCTCCCCGTAGGGAGGAACCTCAGTGCTGAAGCTTCCTGTAAGAACAAAAAAAATCAGATCAATCTTCGATTTACAAAAAAAAAAAAGAAAAAAAGAGGAGAAACAAAAATTTTCAAACCCCGATCTACGTCGATCGGGGCAGTTTCTAACAAAAGGAAGGCTGGATCAAAGCTCAGGAGAATACAAGAGTTTTTTTGGACCTTTTTTGACTTTTTGATCACCGACGACCGGCGACTGGTGATCGACAATCAAGGACGGTAGCCAAAGCGACGGACGGTCACCATCTGGTAGCTTAGAGAGAAGGGCTTTGAAGAAAGAAAAGCTAGAGAGAGAGAGGAGAGGAAAATGAAGCAAAAAATTTTTTTTTTTGCTTTTATAGAACACTAAAATTCAAAATGACGTCATTTAGAGGAACGCCCAAAACGACGCCGCTTTAGCCAATGAGATCTGCGCGTCAACTCAGACTCGACTCGAGGTACGCGTAACTGAATCGGTGTAACCGAACCGTTCCCCAGATCGGATCGAACCGCTCCTTAACTGGCTCAACCGAACCATGCGTCGAACTGACCTCTTTTCTGTCCAACCGAATCGTCGATTCAGGTAAAAAATTTTTTTTTTTAATTTTTTTAATTTTTTTATATATTATTATTTTTGTTATTTTAAGTATCTTTTTTATATTTATGCATGATAAGTTCTTAAATTTGTTAGGATAAATTTTTAATTATTTTAATAATAATAAAAATGAAAGCAAGTAAGATAATAAATAGATATAAATTAAAAATGCTCAAAAAGAATAATAATAATAATAATATTTTTTCTTGTTTTCCCTGTTAAGATGTCGGAGGGAATAAAAATATATTCCTAAAAATAATTTCTCTTAAATGTTAGGGAGTTATTATTAATAAGTTTTCATAAAAAAAAAGAAATATATGAGAAAATTTCGATTGATTATCAAAAATCGCTAAAATCGAACTTGCTCCTAAAATTCACCTAGATGTTGGAGATTTTTAGAGATGCTCGTATTTTCTTAAAAACAAAACCTTAAATACTAATTCATAAAATCCAGAATCCTAAATTCCAAACCCGTAAAATCCAAAATCCCTCAAACCAAAACCTTAAAATCTAAATCTTCAAAATCTTGAAACCCTAACGTTTAAAACCTCTACTCAAGCCCTTACTCAAAACATTCTGAAAATCCTAAGGACACGTGTGAGAATCTCATTTGAAATGATTTGTTCTTGAATGCTGCCTAGATGATAGGGTATTTAGGAAACTTTATTTCATTAAGTTTTTTTTATACGAGTTCTTAATTCGCATTAATAATAACTTTAATAAATAAAAAGTATAATAATAATGGGATCTTAAATATAAACAGTCGTACTTAAGCTCTGCCTAGATGTTGGAGAGTCGAGGTGGGCTCATTATACTTAAGAATCTAACTTTTAAATTGCATTTTATTTTACATGACATTCATTAGCATACATACGTTAGCGTGTTATCATCGATAATTATCTGCATTATTCTCTCTTTAATTTTTATTTACTATTTGATGATAAATATATTTTTTGATATTATAAAATAAAATAAAAATAACATTTCGAAGAAAACAATTCTTGGTACTCTGCTAGATGTTGGAGAGTCACTAACAATTATCTTTTATAAAGATTGTTATTTCATTTTAAGGATTATCGTGTTAAATCTTGAATGAAAATAGTTATTTTAAATTTTGCCTAGATATTAGAGAATTTTAAAATAATTCTTTAACTGTGAGATTTTTTCAATATTCCTAAATAAAAAGTTTTAGCAAAATTTTATTTTTCCAAATGAAGGAAATTAGTGTTAAATTTCAAATTGAAACCATTTTTATCCAACACCAAAAATAGCGTGTTATTAAATGGTATCAATTTATGGGCGTTGTGGGAGTGCTAATCCTTCCCCACACGTAACCGACTCCCGGACCCAACCTAATTTTTCGTAAATCAAAATATGTCTTTTTGATAAACTTTAAACTCGTTTTTATAGTTTTATTAAAAACATAAACTTTTGGGTGGTCAATCACATCCTAAAAAAGATTAGTGACGACTCCCTCATTTACTTCGATTTTAAAACTCCTTTACGTTTAGCGGTCTCAAAACCATTATGACAGCTTGGCGACTCAACTGGGAAATATGATTTTCGAGAGTAAAGCCAAAACTTTTAATTATGCGTTATTAAGAATTGTTGGATTTAATTGGTTTTATTTGACATTTCATTTAATCTCCTTTATTTTGATTTTTCAAAAATATATATGTTAATGAATAAGATAAATTGTATGTTAACTGTTGTTTTATTTTAATTTTGTGTTTATGGTAATTCGATTAATACATTATTTTGCACACACTTTGCATATTCATGCATGAGCTCTAGACCCGGGCTCTATCCCTTTTAGGAGGAAGTGAAGTAGCTACGCTCTCGTGAGGTAATAACCTTCGCATTTGCTAGCGAAACATTTTTACTCAGATTGAACCCATTTCGTTAGTAGCCTGTAATGGGTGAGGATCGATGAGCCTTACTAGTTTATAACAGACGATGATGTGAGGAATAGTCTGGGAACCTTTAGACACGTAAATCTTAACCCGACATATAGAAGCCGTAAGGTCCAACCTTAGGATAGAGCCATACTGTCCATTTTACGAGAAAATTACCTAAACTAGGACACTATGTATATTCTGTTATGACGTATATTATACTTGTTCATTCATTTACTTATTCTTTATTTATTTTTTTTATTTACATTATTAATTTGTTTAATTATTTTGTTGTCTTCAATTTTGTTGCATGCATCATATATGTACCGTAATTCTTAGAGGGTATTGTTTTGGATCAATCTTCAGTAAGAAAAACTTTTAGACAGCCTAAAGGATGTCGTCCATGTGTAAGAGCTACTTAGAGGTCAAGAGCTAATCAGAAAGTACTTAAGAGAAAGAAAGAGATTGCTTAGTAGATTGTCACATATCGGTGCTGCCACAGTCAGTGCATATGGATCTCAGTCAGAATGATATATCAGAATTGAAAGCTATTTGAAAACGATTGGGAACAGAGAGAAAAGAATCTTTTTCTAAGAAATACGAGGATGTGGCACTGCTTATGTCAGTGAAAGTCGATGAACAGCTGATGAGAGTCGTAATATAATTCTGAGATCCATCTTATCGATACTTTGTATTCATCTAAGAAGATTTGGCCCCCACGATTGAGGATTATTCTTTTTTACTCCAGATAGAGTCTACCAATCAAGATAAGATCTATTGACAGGAGCATAAGACTACCGGATATAGAAAGAAGTTAGCTAAGATCATACAAGTAGGGGTTGAAGAGATAGATAAGCACAAAAAGGAAAAGAATGGGGTTGAGACCATTCTATTAACTTTTTTGCTTGAGTACATAAATAAGTATATTGATACTGATCACGGGTTAGATGTATTTACTTTAGCTGTGTATGGATTGATGATATTCCCTAAGGTGTTAGGACATATAGAAGCATCGGTGGTTGATTTTTTTGAGTAATTAGATAAAGGTATAAACCTTTTGCCAACTATTTTGACAGAGATTATTAGATCACTTAATTTTTATCGAAGAAAGGGTAAAAGATGATTTATAAGGTGTGCTCAATTACTTTTTGTTTGGCTCAGAAGCCATTTTTAGGGAAAAAAAGACATCATTTCGGCCATTTTTCATTTATTTCATCCCTATCAAGGAGTTTGTTGCTAAAAAATAGAGGAAAAATTGGACAAAAGGTCAGTGGTTGGCATTCTTTTTGAAGCTCACTAGCGAGGATGTAACATGAAAGGTATCATTGATGCTTCCGATAGCCATCTTGTATAGTGTGGAGATGAGTCATAGGTACTTTTGTTAGAAATATGAGAGGCAGTGAGTTATGCACCTCTTATGGTTCAAAGATAATAGAATTCATAACAGTTCATCCTTATGACTCATAGGCTCAGTTCACTCGAGTTTGATTATGGAACACTCGATCATGTGAAAAGAGTTTGTGAAATCATCAAAGCATGAAAGCATGTCAACCGAATGAGCCCAGCTAGATTTACAGATAGTGTTATAGAAG